GTAGGAGCATAAGCTTTCGTGGGCAAAGACCCACTTCGTCAGATGCATGTCTGACATGCATCTGACAAAGTGGGTCTTTGTCCACGAAAGCTTATGCTCCTACACTTCAGTTAGTCTGTAAGGTGCCACAGGACTCCTCGCCGCTTTTGCAGATTCAGACTAACACGGCTACCCCTCTGATACCTAATACAAAATGGATATTAGCAAGCCCTCAAAGAAGAAATGACAATTACCTTAATCCATTTCTGGTTCTTTGAGACGCGTTATTCATGTCTGTTCCATGACCTGCACTCCTTCCCCACTGTCAGTTTCCAGCAAAATGGAATTGAGGGTGGGGGGAATGGGTGTCTCCTCTTAAACTGAGGGATATCTGTGCCACTCCAGAGAGCACCAGAACTGGTCCCCTATGGGTTTTACTGAGGGGGAAATTTCCAGTACCAGTATATGTGGAGAGCACAAACACCTAATATTGAATGGACATGAGAAACACAGCTCAAAGAACACCAGTTACAGAAAAAAGATCATTGTCTTTCTCCAGCCTTGTTCTAAATTCAGAAATACTAACTAGAGTTGAGCTGAGATGAACATATAAGATGCATCTTGAGTCTTTTTCTAGTAGAACATTTTATATTTAGCTTGTTTTTGTCACTTTGGGTATGCCTACACAACAGCGCTATTTTGGGATAACGTCCATCATTCCAAAATAGTATTCTGAGCATCTTAACGGCAAGACCGTTATTTTGAAATACATTCAAAATAACAGGCTTGTTATTCTGACGTCCTGTAAATCATGAATGCATGAGGATTAAGGGACTAGTCAGAATAGTTCTGTATTTTGAAATTAGCGCTATTTAGTCAGCTGAGTTCAAAATTTGGCGCTGTCTTGAAATAAGCTACACAATTTGCATCCATCAAATTGCATAGTTTATTTTGAGCTATGCACTACTGTGTAGACGTACCCTTAGTTAACTGCTTTTGCATTCTGAATACTAAACCAATTTTTGTGTTTGCAAGTAGCCTTGATGGGTTGGAAAAAAGAAAGTGACAATAAAGTTTTCCAAGAGCATTTAGACTTTAAAGAAAAATTGTATACCAGAGAGCTCTTCATAGACTCATAGAAACATAGAACTGGAAGAGACCTCAGAAGGTTATAAAGTCCAGCCCACTGCTCTAGGCAGGACCAATCCCAACTAAATCAACCCAGCCACGACTTTGTCAAGCCGAGACTTAAAAACCTCTAGAGATGAAGACTCCACTACTTCCCTAGGTAATCCATTCCAGTGCTTCACCACTCTCCTAGTGAAATAGTTTTTCCTAATATCCAGCCTGGACCTCTCCCACCACAACTTGAGACCATTGCTCCTTGTTCTGTCATCTGTCACTACTGAGAACAACCTCTCTCCATCTTCTTTGGAACCTTGGGTCAGGAAGTTGAAGGTGGCTATCAAATCCCCCCTCACTCTTCGCTTCTGCAGACTAAACAGACCCAACTGGCTCAGCCTCCCCTCATAGGTCATATGCTCCAGCCCCCTAATCATTTTGGTCTTCCTCCACTGGACCCTCTCCAATGCGTCCACATCCTTATGGTAGTGGGGGGCCCAGAACTGGACACAATACTCCAGATGTGGCCTCATCATAGCTGAATAAAGTGGAATAATCTCATCTCTGGATCTGCTGGCAATGCTCCTCTTAATGCAACCTAATATTCCATCAGCCTTCTTGGATATGAGGGCACACTATTGACTCATATCCAGCTTCTCATCCACTGTAACCCCCAGGTCCTTTTCTGTAGGACTACTACTTAGCTGGTTGGTCCGCAGCCTGTAACAATACTTGGGATTCTTCCGTCCCAAGTGCAGGACTCTGCACTTGTCCTTGTTGAACCTCATCAGATTACTTATGGCCCTATCTTCGAATTTGTCAGTGTCACTCTGGACCCTATCTATGCCCTCAAGTGTATCTACCTCTCCCCCTAGCTTAGTGTCATCTGCAAACTTGCTGAGGGTGCAATCTATCCCCTCATTCAGGTCATTAATAGAGATATTGAACAAAACCGGTCCTAGAACTGAACTTTGGGACACTCCGCTAGAAACTGACCGCCATCCTGATACTGAGCCGTTGATCACTACCCGCTGAGCCTAGCCTTCTAGCCAGATTTCTGTCCATCTTACCATCCATTTATCTAATCCATATTCCCTTAACTTGCTGGCAAGAATATTGTGGGAGACTGTATCAAAAGCCTTGCTAAAGTCAAGGTATATCACATCCACTGACTTTCCCGTGTCCACAGAGCCACTTACCTCAGCATAGAAGCTAATCAGATTGGTCAGACATGACTTGCCCTTTGTGAATCCATGCTGACTATTCCTGATCACTTTCCTCTCTTCCAAATGCCTAAAAATGGATTCCTTAAGTATCCCTTCCATGATTTTTCCAGGAACCGAGGTTAGACTGACTGTCCTATAGTTCCCTGGATCGTCCTTCTTTCTTTTTTGGTAAAGTTACAGGCTACCTGAAAAGTTTTTATGCAATGTGTCTTGCACTGATCTGAAAACTCTAGCCAGTTCTATAGCAATAACTATTTTGATTTAATGTCTTTACATTCTCCCAATTTTGAGACAGAAACATTTTACACTCATTTTTTTCGTATTTTTCTTTTGAATGATCTAGCATGGCCACTGCCAGATGCAGGATGCCAGAGGAGAGGGACCAGCAATCTATTTCATTCTGGCCACTCTGATGGACCTGTAGTCATTTCTCCCATATTGCGTCACTTAGCGCATTAGCATGGGAGCTGACCTTGTACGTGAAGACAGAGGCAAAGAAAGATTAAGTGATTCAGTTTTCCCAACATCATCTGTCACTATGTTACTGCCCTCATCCAGTAGGGGTCCCACAACCTTTCTGATCACCTTCTTCTTGCTAACATGCCTGTAGAAACCTTTTTTGTTATCCTTCACATCCTTTGCCAGTCGCAATTCCATTTGTGCTTTCGCCTTCCTGATAACCCCTCAGCATTCTCGAGCTATACATTTAAACCCCTCCCTGGTCATTTTGTCCAAGTTTCCACTTTTTGTAAGCTTCCTTTTTCTGATTAAGTTTACCAGGGATTTCCCCTGTAAGCCAATCCGGTCTCCTATCATGTTTGCCTCTCTTGCTATGCATCGGGATGGTTTCTTTCTGTGCCTTCAGTAAGGCTTCTTTAAAATACTGCCAGCTCTCCTGGGTTCCTTTCCCCTTCAAGTTAATAAAGCCCGGGAAATTCAAATCCCGGGCTTCATTTGCAAGTGCGTATGCCTACATTACCCCGCTAGTTCGAACTAGGAGGGTAGTGTAGGCATATCCTGAGAGAGTCAAAATCTGCTTTTCTGAAGTCCAAGGTGTGTATTTTACTACTCTCTTTTCTTCCTTTGGTCAGGATCCTGAATTCTACCATCTTATGATCACTGCTTTCGAGGTTGTCAGCCACCTCTACTTCCCCCATTAGTTCCTCCCTGTTTGTGAGCAGAACATCAAGCTGCTCACGGCCCCTGTTTGGATCCTTCAGCACTTGTACCAAGAAGTTATCCCCAACATTCTCCAAAAACTTCCTGGATTGTCTGTGTATTGCTGTATTGGTCTCCCACCAGATGTCAGGGTTATTAAAGTCCCCCATGAGAACCATGGCCTGTGATCTGGAAGCTTCGCTCAGTTGTCTGAAGAAAGCCTCATCTACCTCATCCACCTGATTCAGTGGCCTGTAGCAGACACCAGCCACAACATCACTGCTGTTGTTTGCACCTCTAAACTTAACCCATAGACTCTCAACAGGTTTTTCTCCCTCTATCTACTGCAATTCTGAGCAATCATAGTGCTCTCTTACATATAGTGCAATTCCTCCTCCTTTTCTCCCCTGCCTGTTCTTCCTGAATAGTCTATACTCTTCCATGACAACGCTCCAGTCATGCGAGTCATTCCACCAAATCTCCGTTATCCCCATTAAATCATATTTCTTGGACTGGGCCAGGGCCTCCAGTTCTTCCTGTTTGTTGCCCAGGCTTCTCTCATTAGTGTACAAACACCTCAAATAACCAGTTGATTACTCTATCTTCTCGATTCGAATCAGGGGTCCTCCTTTCTTGCTTGTTTCTCTTTGCATTTCTTCCTGGTATCTGACTTTCCCACTCCCCTGAAGGTTTTGGCCACCATCCCCCAACAAACCTAATTTAAAGCCCTCCCCACTAGATTTGCAAGCCTGCTCATGAAGATGCTCCTTCCTCTCTTTGGGTATGTCTACACTACCCTCCTAGTTCGAACTAGGAGAGTAATGTAGGCATACCGCACTTGCAAATGAAGCCCGGGATTTTAATTTCCCGGGCTTCATTTGCATAAGCGGGGAGCCGCCATTTTTAAAACCCCGCTGGTTCGAACCCCGTGCAGCGCGGCTACACGGGGCACGAACTAGGTAGTTCGAACTAGGCTTCCTAGTTTGAACTACCGTTACTCCTCGTGAAATGAAATAGCAGTGCTGGGCAGGCTCAGGTACATTTTATTTTAAAAATGGTCATTGGTTTATTTAAAAATGTTGATGATAGAGATGCAGTAGGATTACTGCAGAAGTTTGTGCACTAGAATGACTGGAAGTAGATGTAGGCTGTCTCTGTTTTGGAATATCTGTTGATGAGCCTTGTGGAGAATGTGTGTATTAATACTTGGGGGCAGTATATCCTTAATCTGTCAGTGGTAGAAATCACTAGGCCTGTTGAAATCACTAGGCCAAGAGTGGTGATAAAAAGAGTAACAGTGATCATGATTATATAGTATTCTGGGCCATTAAAGTAGATGGGAGTTTTGCCGTTTAATACAATGTGAGCAGGATCAGGACTAAGGTTGATATGCTGTTTTGGTAAATGTAACATAAGGTATTTAGTAATCATTTAAATGTCATGCATTTTTATGGGTTTTTCTTAGTAGTTGCTTATAGGTTTGCATTAGTTGATACATATAGGTGATTATGTGAGGCTTTTTATATCTTTCTCCTTATGTTCAGGCAATAGGATGCCAGGATGGAACAATTTCCTTTTATCAGCTGATTTTCAGTACAGTCCACGGACTCTATAAAGATCGTTATGCTTACAGGGACAGCATGACTGATGTTATTGTCCAGCACCTAATTACTGAGCAAAAAGGTAGTTTCACACATACTTTTAATCCTTAGCTTCACTTTCCTAATTATTTTTTATTAATAGTTGTTAGCATGTTCAAATGTGTGGTTTCTGTCCCGTGAAGTTTTCTTTGATAAACACTGACGGTATTATTGAAACACACAGCTCATGGGATGAAAATGCGAACTCGAAGTGGAGCAAATGTCTCTGGAGGATCAGCGCTGAAGGACTTAATGAGGAAGTGGGGATTTGAGAGATCATTAGGAGAGGAAAGAGCTATTAAGAGAGAGTCTGTCTCTGCAGTTGTGAGATTCTGTATAGTCCATTATATTTGTCAAGGTTGCTCTTATTAATAGCATCAAATACTTGTGCTGATATTTTCTAAGCACATTTAAAAAGAAAATTCTCACCCCATTTTATGACACGAAAGAGACATTGAAACATGCATTGTTGTACCTCCTTCACAAGAAATGACTATTAATAACTTGTGACCTCCTGCTAACCAGTAGCACGAATGCATACCTTATACAGGCAGTCCCCGGGTTACGTACAAGATAGGGACTATAGGTTTGTTCTTAAGTTGAATCTGTATGTAAGTCGGAACTGGCGTCCAGATTCAGCCACTGCTGAAACTGACCAGCGGCTGACTACAGGAAGCCCGAGGCAGAGGCGGAAGTCGGATCCGCGTAACTCGGGGACTGCCTGTACTTCATGTGGAGCCACAGACTTTCTTCTAGTAGGTTTGACTGATGTAGAAGTATTTTGTAAGGATTAAATTGTAATCAGGCTGGACATGGTATTAAATTGTTTCAGTTTGGCCCTACACATTACTACACTTTCTTATGTTCTTTCTTTTCAGTTAGAATAAAATGCAGAGAACTTGTAAAGAAAATTGCAATCTACAAAAATAGATTAGCAATCCAGCTTCCAGAAAAAATCCTGATTTATGAATTATATTCAGATGATTCCTCAGACATGCATTACCGTGTGAAGGAAAAGATAGCAAAGAAATTTGAATGCAATTTATTAGTTGTATGTTCAGATCACATTATCTTATGCCAGGTATGTACTCTAGCCTCCCACTAGTTCGAATTAAGGGGCTACACACCCCTTAATTTGAACTAGTAAGTTCGAACTAGGCTTAGTCCTCGTGGAATGAGGTTTACCTAGTTCAAACTAAGCACTCCGCTAGTTCGAATTAAGTTCGAACTAGCGGAGTGCTGGTGTAGCGCCTATCAAAGTTAATTTGAACAAACATCTGTTCGTTCGAATTAACTTTGTAGTGTAGACATACCCCTAGAGAGAGAGGCTCTGGACTGATACCTGTTGTCATTCCCCATTCTGGTACGATGAATGCAGAAGTGGGGGCCCACAAAAGCACTGCAAAACCTCGCCCTCTATAGACTCTGGTACAAAAACTTCCCCTCAAAATCCTAATACCCAGATTTTGGGGAATCTGCTGCCACCACCCAAGTAATTCCAAGAAAACCAGGGAAGGGATCACTTGGGAAATCTCCCCCCTAAGGTAAAACTCTCCCTCTTCCCCAACTTGGAGTTGGGAAAAACAAAGGGAATTTACAGACAACAATGGACTCTGCCCTTGTAACTAGGCACTGAGTCCTAAGGATACAACAATCAACCAATCCCGGTTAATTAGAAAAGCAAACAATCCTTTATTATAAAAACAAAACTACAGTTGCAAACATAGTAAAGTGGCTAGATAGACAGAGCCACCAATTGATAAAGATACTTAGGGAAACCCCCTGGGCTAAAACTTAATTACAAAGAAAAAAAAACACTTAACAAGGAAAACAACAAATCCTGATGGACTATCTAAACTTTTCCCGACTTACACATTTTGAGAAGGCCGTCCTTGCAGAGAGAAGTGTCTCCCATCTCCCTCAGTCTTGGAAGAAATTGCTCTGCCTCTCAAACACAGAAGAGAGAGAAACCCCTCTCCTCCAGTTTGAAATTCCTACCTGCATTGTTACTGGCCGACCACTCAATACCTGGCTAGGTAGAGGAGGTTTTAGTTAACCCCTTAGTCACCAGGTGCTGGTCAGCACTCGTAGTTATGACACCTGCCAGGCTGTAGGCCTTGATATAGGAGCCAAGGAGGTGCAAGGAGTCACAGGGAAGTGGTCCAGGGAGCAAGAGACAATAGAGGGGAGAGAAGTAGGGCAGGACAAGGTTGGTGCCAGAGGGTCCCTGAGGCAGAACCCAGAGTAGTGGGTGGACCTGGGTCCTGTCCTTCCCCCACATCTGAAGACTGCGGGACTGGTCTGGAGCTGCAGCTGGCCACAGAGGCATGTGGGAGACTAAGGGCTGCTGATACCCCTGGAAGGGGCCAGAGATCGGTGTAGTGGGCACTGCCTGAAGATGATGCTGTGGTCTGGGGACCAAAGCAGGGCAGAGCATGGAGACAGCACAGACAAAACAAGAGACACTGGTCAGAAGGGGATGCTCTGCTAAGGACTGAGCTAATTCCTAGAGTGACCAGAGTGATTTGACTTGTCAAGTTGGTTCAGTCATATAACATTCTATTAAAGGATGTGACATAACTTAGTTATTAATGATGCAAGCCTAGGTGGTCCATTACATATATGCTATCCATAGCATCTAAGATAAAAGAAAGGGAAACATATTCTTGAGACATCTATGAATGTTGAGAAATTTATACGCTGGTCTGTACAAGAAAGAATTACCAAATATTCCTTGTTTTGATGCATGTGTTTGCTGCAGATAATTAATTGACTCTTTAAAAACAGGCACCTCTCATACTCCCATGTTGCTCCCATGTTTGGTGTCTGAATTTCTCATCAGCTACTTGGCAACACAGTGATGCTAATAGCTGCCAGGGCCATCTATTTCATTACTTTCTTTCACAATATGATTTTGTTTAGAAACAAAATAGTTCTTGTGAATACTAGCTGTCAAAGGCTATGTCTACACTGCATGCTTATTTTGAAATAACAGAATGTGCATTTACACAGAAAGCCCGTTGTTTCAAAATAATTTCAAAATAATGGGCTTCTTACTCTGACTTCTGTAACCCTAATTTCACAAGGTGTAAGGGAAGTCAGAGGAAGAGTGTTCTTTCTTTGACTTCCTGATGTGTAGACAGTGCCAAAAGTTACGTCAAGGTACTTCAACTTCAGCTATGCAATTAACGTAGCTGAAGTTGTGTATCTTAACTTAACTTTAGCCCACAGTGTACATGTACCCAAAATGACTACATAGACTTGCTGATGAAGTGGGAGCTTAGTCCTACAATTTCAAACAATGTATGGTAATTGTACCCTATAGGTGTTTTTTTAAAATACCATATCAGCAATGAGCAAGGTGACATGTAAATTATGTAGTGGAATCTACACCAAGCCTTAATAATAAACAATGTAGGGTTCCTAGAATAAAGGGGTGCAACTGAAGTTAATACTCCTTGATTCTGAGTTCAAATCGCCTTGTAGGGTGGAATGTTGTGACAATATGTTTGCAAATTGGACTGTCTTCAGTTTCTCTTCTCTGTCGATTTGGGGTGATCAGATATTAAATATCACATATTTAACACACAGTCCAGAGCCTATTGAGGCCAAAGAAAAGACTCTTCATACTGAGTTCAATGGGCTATGTGGATCAGATGCTATGTAAAATAAATCAACTAATTACTATGAAGAGCAAGAAATTAATTCTGCTGAGCATACATGCAACTGAATACACAGACTGAAAATGAGGAATTTCAGCTCCAGCCTCCTCAATAGGAACTCCACCTATTTAAACTCTCCAAGGGTATGTCTACACTACAGAGTTAATTCGAGTTAACTTAATTCAAAATAGTTAATTCGAATCAAGCTAATTCGAAATAACGCATCTATACACAAAAACTGTTTCAAAATAGTGTTTTCCTATTTCAAAATAGCGTGTCCACACTGAGTGGACCCTGAACTGAAGTTAAGGCTGGCCAGAATGAGTGCTGGCAGGGCATCAGGTTAGGACTTAGTGTGTGGGGCTGCTGCCTGAGGCTAACTGAGCTCCGTGCTTAAAGGGACCCTACCCCACCCCAGGCAAAGGTGCAAAGCCTATGACTTCTTTTCATTTAGTTTCGTTTGATATACTTGCATAAAAAAGGTTCTCTCAAAGTCTCTACTTAGTAGTTTAAAAATGTCAATGCTACATTATTTTCTTAAACATATAGGAATAGAATGAAAACATGTTTAATCGTTGCTACACTATAGTTTAATATAAAGAACACTTGATTTAAGCTACAAGTTGTGTGTTCAGTTTTCACTTAATCTTTTTTTCAGATAATATTCTCTAAGTTATTCAAATATGTTTGAATTTAAAACCAACCTCTCCAGCTCCAAATAATTAAAGAAAAAAAAAACCCACAGGCTGCTTTTAGCTTAAGTTCCAAACAAACAAAAGCTGTGTATATGGGCCATCTGGTATAACCAGGCACTTCACAACTTTGCAGATGTGGCTTGTACTTTGAGCCAGGTTGGTTTGATTCCTTAAAACTAGTTTTAAAAGGGACACAGTCAAATTACGAAAAACTAAAAACAAAGGAAACACATACTCACTCTTCCTTCAACTCTCATGCACTCACCTATCATCAACAAAAAAAAATTACCCACAGGTCAAATGGTGTTTTTTTAAATTTTGTTACAAGATTTTTTTTTATAAGATTGTTTTAAAAAATATTGTTACAAAGTTGCTATACATAAATTAGAGAAATTAAATATTTCCCATTTTTTTCTTTCTTCCTTTATGAACTTGACTGCACTTTGTGAATAGTCACCTGCTCCTAGGGATGTTCTACACAAAAATGAAAAAAGCAATTAAATACAGAAAAATGTGATTATACACCCATAAAACTGTTGGCGAAGGTGTTTTGGGGCCACTGGATCAGGGGTCTCAACTGCTGGATCTGAGCTGGCAGACTTGGAGCTGGCACAGGCACTGTGGCCAGAGTCTACCCCTTTAAGGGCTCCAGGGATGGCGGGAGGGAGAGAAATGTTCTTGGTTGAGGCTGGAGTGGCTACCAGGGCACCCTGGGAAGGCTGGAGGCCCCCTATTTCAAAATAAGTGTCTATACAGCACTTATTTCGACATAGCTATTTTGAATTTGGCGCTGGGCCCGTTGGCCCTGCTCGCCAGTCCCCGCAGTGGCTGCAGAGACTCGGGTAGGCTCCGTGGGCCGTGGCTCAAACCACCAGGGATTTCACGCGAGGGGCAGTGCTGACAGCTGTGCCGGGCTCGGGCGCTTGAAAATCTGCCCTTGGGTGCAGCTTCCTGGCCAGGGAAGCTGAGGGGCCTGGCTCAGTGCAGCGAGATCCAGGCCCCGGCAGACAAGCCGGTCGTCCCAGGGGAGCAGCTGAAGGGGAGGCCTGGGGCTTGTTTCCTTTGACTGAGCCCAGGCTAGAGGGGAAACTGAGACACGGGGCATCCCAGGCCCCCTAATAGGTGATGGAGCCAGACTAGAACCTAGGTCTCCTGCGTCCCAGACTGCCTGTCGGAGGAGAGGGGGGTGCAGCCCCAGAAGACATGTTCCTTGCTGTGGTCTCCTCACCTCAAAGAAGATATTTAGGCGTTAGAAAAGGTTCAGAAAAGGGCAACTAAAATGCTGAGGGGTTTGGAACAGATCCCATCTGAGGAGAGGTTAAAGTGACTGGGACTTTTCAGCTTGGAAAAGAGGAGACTGGGGGTCTGTCTACACTACCCCGCTAGTTCGAACTAGCGGGGTAGTGTAGACATACCCTAAGAAATTACAGGACTTGCATCATCGGAACACATTTTCACAGACTGATCATGCACAGAGAATAATGCTGTGGATAATCACTTGTATGAGTAGTTGCCTTCTGCAACTAGGCTTGTCAAAAAAATAGATCATTAAAACTCACCAGGAATTTTCTATCAGTTATTTTGACAGAAAATGCTGTTTGAACAAAATTGGAATATTCTATGAGAGAATTTTGCTGACATTTTTATAATTTCCACTAGGAAAATATAAAGAAAATATTTTGTTTTGGGTAAATTCAAACTGAATCAAATTGTTGCCTTGATCTG